TGTGGCCCCACACAGGGCCTCCTGCACCTGCATGCCGGGCTTGTACCTTCCTCCCCAAATTCAGGGGCTCTGGGAGGCAGAGCTTGTCTTGTGACCCTTTGCAGCACAGGGTTCTTTGTGCACAGGCTCCGACACAGACTTCTGGGAGGATAGCCCCTGCCTGGTGTGCCTGGTGGGGACTGCTCTGCTGGAACCCTGAGTGATCTGTTGACCGACCACAGGACAAGTTGCCTCAAGGTCAAGAGGGCTGTGCCAAGATGGCTCCTCGGTCTTCCTCTCAGCCCCTCAGCTCAGCCATGAGGCACAAGGCTTCTCTTGACAATTTGACCTCACACACTCTCCTGGGGCCAGGCTTGGGGGCAGGGAGACAGAATCCTGAGTCAGAGACCCCACAGTGTAGCTCATTTCTCACTTCTGCGCAGCTCAGTACAGGCCCCCCTGGAGAGCACGGAGGGTAGCATGGTGCCTGAGTGTCAGGATCAGCAGCCGCTTCACCATCCAGCCCCTCCCTGAGGCTCCCACTCTCCACTCCCCTCATTCGGGGCCAAGGAAGTCTGGAAGGCACTGTCTCCAGGGAATACGGAGTCTCAGAGTCTCATTTCTTGGCTCTCATCAGGGCTAGTCTCTTTGCAACAAGTGCCCGGTGTCAGGGAAGCGCGAATCACCTCTGGTCAGCAGAAGCAGCTGCACCTTGGCAGCCAGGCTGGGGAGGGAGTTGTTTGCTAGGTAACGGGTGCACCCCAGGTTAGGGCAAGGTGGGCCAGGCATGGGCACATTTTTAAAGGGCCCCAGGTGCACCTTTGTCTCTCTCTAAAAATCAATAAAAACAAACATCCTCAGGTGAGGATTAAAAACACACACACAAAAACAAAATACAAGTACCCCAGGTGATTCTAGCATGAAGCCAGAAAGAAGAGCCAGTGGTTAAGTCAATGTTAAAATGCCCCACCAATGAGCAGCTCTCTGGGCCTCCCTTTCCCAGGGAGTCTGCCTTTGACAGGAAGCCCCTGGGGACACACTCCCACCCTTGTCCCTGTCCCAGGTCAACCACAGGCCTGGGAGGCTATGCTGGACTGGGGGAGAACCCACCCCAACACCGGGGTGCGGCCACCCTTGCTGCGCCTTGTCTCTGCTCCCAGAACCTTGGTCATTTATTCTCAAGGGTCCTGAGTGTGGCCTGCCCAGAGGGCAGTTTAGGACAATCAGAAACAGAAAAATGTGCTATGAATGGAAAGGGCCCCCCACGGTTTTGAGCAGAGAGTCATCGGGGGACTGTGAACCCTTATTCTGTAAAGCATAACATTTCCTGGAGGAAGCTTCCAACCAGGCAAGGGAAAGGCAGGAACCAGTGTTCCAAATGACAATTTCATTTCCCACTTCACTTGAGCAAGGCCAAGGTCAGGTTATGGAACCGAAACAATCACCATAGAGAGGAAACTTACTCCAGGATTCAGCCTGTTCAGACTGGCACGTGTTAACACACAATGAGACACCAATGGCTGCCAGGGGTGTTGGGGGTGGGGGGAGGGCATTAATCTAATGACAGGGGAGCGGCAGTGGTCTTGGTTTTTTTCATGGACTTCTCGATCCACTTGAGGAAGTTGGTGACTTTGGTGTAGATTCCGAACTTTCCTTTCCGTGCACATCCTTCTCCCCAGCTGATGATGCCCGTGATAAAGTAGGTGTCCTTGAAGCGAGTGACATGGGGACCCCCGCTGTCTCCCTGACAGGCATCCTCCAGCTTTGAGTCATAGCCGGCGCAGAACATGTTTGGGGTGATGCTGAAGGGGGTGGACAGCTTGCATGTGTTCCTGTCCACGTAGGGCACCTCCAGCATCTTGAGCGTGACGGACGTGCGGCCCATCTCGTGGATGCGCCCAAAGCCGCTCACGATGCCTGATTTCTGTGTCATGAGGGTGGACTCGGCCCAGTCCTTCTCCGGCAGGCAAGCAGGGGCCACGTTCATGCGGAATTTGATGGGCGTCTTCAGCTTGAGGACAGCGATGTCACAGTTATAGGTCTTATTGTCAAACCCTTTGTGTTTTACAATCACCTCCACCTCGTGCACCATCTCGTTGCCGTCCTCCTTCTCCGTGTTTCGATCGCCTGGAAAATGGTGACAGCACGGCCGTGTTAGCCCACTGGGCCACGTGTTCTTGGTGGGTTACTTTTTAAAGGAGCTATTGTTGTTTTTTCTACTTAAAAAAAAGGGTATATAGTCACTAGGAAATTTGAAAAATATAAGAAATCATAAAGAGGCGAATTAAAATGACCTTCAATTTCACTATTTTTAGTAGACATTCTGGATGTGTTGAGTTAAATATGATATATTACTAAAATTAATTTCACCTGCAAAGTTTTAAAATGTATAGTGGAAAAGTTAATGTAACTAGCACATTAAAATTCATGTGGCTCACACTTGTGTCTTTCATCGGGCAGCTCTAGAGTCTGGCAGGAAAGGACAGACATTACAAAATAATCCCACAGACAAAAATATAAGGCGCAGAGGGACTCGGTTCGCAGATCATCGAAGGGGCTCTGGATGCCTCCCCAGAGGAAAGGTCGCTGAGAGGATACCCAGCACTTGGGGCATGGACACCAAGAGCCTCAGTGAGGACCATGAGGGAGGAGAACTGGGCTGGATTGGACCATAGAGACCTGTCAGCTTAGAAAGACTGACTAGACCTGCCCATTTTCCTCCTACCTCCACTCTTCTCCTCATTTTCACCCTCCTCCGCCTTCTTGTCTTCCTCCTCCTCTTCTCCCTTCTTTTTCTCATCCTTCTTTCTCTCTTCTTCCTCCTTCTCCTTCCTTTTCTTCCCCTCTTCTATACTCTCCTCTCCTCCCCTCCCTCTCAACGTTCCCCTCCTCCTTCTCTCCTCCCTAGTTCTCTTCCCCCTCCTCCTTATAGCTCTCCTCTCCCACCCCATCCCCTCCTCCTCCTCTCCCTCTCTTCCCCCACCTCCTTAATGCTCTCCTCCCCCTCTCCCCCCTCCTCCTCCTTTTGTCCCTTCTCTTCCTCATCTGTGAAACTGCCCCCCCGCAGCCTGGATTCCAGTAATTTTATCTAGTGTTTCCAACAAATTTGATCAGTTCTAATTGTCTCTGAAAATTAGGCCATGACAGTGGGACCTGCAGGGGTGAGGAGTGTGGTGCCACTTACCTACCCTCACCTTGAATAGCTTAGCTTGGTCAAGACAGTGGGCAGCAGTGAGGATGTAGAACTCATTCAGGATG